GAACAGTTTGCTCTAAAGAGAAGGTTATACATATCCAAGAAAGTACAATGAACACATAGATAATTCCAGAACAGTTAATTAAAAGACATCTAAAAAACACATCACCACAATAACAAATGACAGGAACTGACACATTGTAACTCTTTTTTTTCAATATACGTTTTTATTTAAATTAGAAACATGCATGCTTCACATGTCAATCCCAGCTCCCTCTCCCTCCCCTCCTCCTTGTCTCTCCACCAGCCACGCAAAACCCCCCAACCAGTTCCCACACCATTCCCCAGGGAGGGTGAGGCCCTTCATGGGGGGGGGAGATCTCTAAAGTCTGTCATTTCATCCTGGGCAGAACCTAGGCCCTTCCCCATGTGTCCAGGCTGAGAGAGCATCCCTCCATGTGGAATGGGCTCCCAAAGATCATTCGTAAGCCATGGTAAACACTGATCTATTTACTACCCAAGGCCCCAGGGATTGTTGAGGCCTCCTTACTGACACTATACTCAGGGAGTCTGGATCAGTCCCCTGCTGGCCTCTCAGCCATCAGTCTGGGGTTCAAGAGCTCCCACTTGTCCAGTCAGCTGTCTTTGTGGGTTTCACCCCTTTGTCCATTACTCCTGCATCTCTGTCACTGGGTTCCAGGTGTTCAGTTCAGTGTTTAGCTGTGGGTATCTGTCTCTACTTCCATCAGTCATTGGATGAAAGTTCTAGAATGGCGTATAAGGTAGTCATCAACCTTATCATCAGGGAGTGGCTGGCTACTAAGGTAGTCTCTCTGCTATTGCTTGGTTTGCCAATTGGTGTTATCCTTGTAGATCTCTGGAAATCTCACTAGTGTCAGCTCTCTCCTCAAACCTATAATGTCTCCATCTATTATGGTATTTCTCATCATGCTCTCCTCTATTCTTACCCAGACTCAACCTTCCTGCTCCCCCATGTCTTCCTCTCCAGTCTTCTTCTCCCCGTCTCTTTTTCCTGGTTCCCTCTCCCCTCTCCCTCTTTTCCCAATCTGCTCAGGAGATCTTGCCTTATTCCACTTCTCTGGGTTATCATGCATGTGTCTCTTGGGAACCTCCCTGCTTCCCCGACTCACTGGCACTGGGATTGTAGGCTGTCACTCCCCTGATCCATGTCTAAAATCCACATAAGAGTGAGTACATACTGTGTTTGTCTTTTTGTGACTGGGTTACTTCACTCAGGATGGTTTCTTCTACTGACATCCATTTGCCTACAAATTTCAAGATTCCACTGTTTTTTTCTGCTGAGTAGTAATCCATTGTGTAAATGTACCACATTTTTCTATCCACTCTTCAGTTGTGGGGCATCTAGGTTGCTTCCAGGATCTGACTATTAACAAATAATGCTGCTATGAACATAGTGGAACAGACATCCTTGTTTTATGAATGTACGTCTTTTGGGTATACGCCTAAGAGTGGCATTGCTGGGTCTTATGGTAGACTGATTCCTATTTTCCTGAGGAATCTCCATAGTGATTTCCATAGTGTCTGTACAAGTTATCACTCCCACCAGCAGTGGAGGAGTGTTCCCCTCTCTCCACATGCTCTCAAGAATAAACTGTCATTGGTGTTTTTGATTTTAGTCATTCTGAAAGGGGTGAGATGGTATCTCAGAGTTGTTTTGATTTGCATTTCCCTGATGGTTAGGATACTGAGCAGTTTCTCAGCCATTTTAGATTCCTCTATTGAGAATTCTCTATTTAGTTCTGTACCCCACTTTTTAATTGGATCCTTTGGTGTTTTGGATACTTGCTTCTTGAGTTCCTTGTAAATTTTGGACATCAGCCCTCTGTCAGATGTGGGGTTAGTGAATATCTTTTCCCATTCTGTGGGCTGCCTTTTTGTCTTGTTGACTGTGTCCTTTGCCTTACAGAAGTTTCTCAGTTTCAGGAGGTTCCATTTATTAATTGTCAATCTCAGTGCCTGTGCTACTGGTGTTATGCTCAGGAAGCAATCTCCTGTACCAATTTGTTCAAGGGTAGCTCCCAGTTTCTCTTCTAAGATGTTCAATATGGCTGGATTTATGCTGAGGTATTTGACCCATTTGAACTTAAGTTTTGGGCAGGGCGAAAGACATGGATCTATCTGCATTCTTCTATATGCCAGCCTCCAGTTATGCCAGCACCATTTGTTTAAGATGCTATCTTTTTTCCATTGTATAATTTTAGCTTCTTTGTCGAAAATCAGGTGTTCATAGTTTTGTGGATTAATCTTGGGGTGTTCAATTCGATTCCATTGGTCTACCTGTCTATTTTTGTGCCAATACCAAGCTGTTTTCAGGACTATAGCTCTATAATAGAGCTTGAAGTCAGGGATGGTGATGCCTCCAGATGTTTCTTTGTTGAGCAGTGTTGATTTGGCTATCCTGGGTTTTTTGTTTTTCCGTATAAAGTTGAGAATTGTTCTTTCAAGGTCTGTGAAGAATTGTGCTGGGGTTTTGATGGGGATTGCATTGAGTCTGTAGATTGCTTTTGGCAGGATTGCCATTTTTGCTACATTGATCCTACCTATCCAAGAGCATGGGGGATCTTTCCATTTTCTGTCGTCTTCTTTAATTTCTTTCTTTAAAGACTCAAAGCAGGAGACTAGGATGCTGGGGTGTGTTGACTCCTGCTGCTGGGATGGAAGCCACAGTGGCAGACCCCAAGCACAGGCAGGTGGCCTGGAAATGGGCCCTGGTTTACCTAGTTCTGTGAGTGGAGCAGGAGACTAGGTGTCTTGGCTCTTGCCACCAGGATGGAAGCCGCAGTGGTAGACCCTGAGCACAGGCAGGCTACCAAGAGACCTTGTAACTCTTAGAACTAATAGTCTTAATTCCACAACACACTAACAGACTGGATTAGGAAAGAGGATCCAATTCTTGGCTTCTTCCAAGAAATACACCTTACCAGCATCAATAGATACCCTTATGGTAAAAAAAAATTGAAAATGGTATTCTTAGCAAAGGCAGCCAAGAAACAGGCTGCAATCTCTAAAACGCACTTCAAAACAAATAGTCTTTCATTCATACGCAATAGAGGAAAACTCAATCGAGAGACTATTATATATCTAAACATTTATGTCACAGAGGCACGCGGTTTCATAAGAGAATTCTTGTTAGATCTGAAAAACACAGATTGACCACCCTAACACAGTGACGATGGGGGACTTCACTACCATATTTTCAGTAATATACAGGTAATCCAGACAAAACTAAACATAGAAATTCTGGTGTTAAATGGCACCATAAATAAAATTGATCTCACAGACGTCTACAGAGCATTCCACTCAAATCCTAAAGAATGCACTTTCTTTTCAGCGCCCCATGGGACTTTCTCCAAAATCCACCACGTATTAGGACACAAAGCTGTAACATGTAGTCTTCCCGCCAGTTGCCTGGGCCCTGCCGAGCTGTCTGAACCCCCAAATAACACATAGGACGCTATATTAATTATGAAGCTGTTAGCCGTTTGCTATGATTTATTATTGGCTAGCTCTGACTTAATTGTTTACCCATAATTGCTAATCTGAATATTTCCATGTGGTATTCGCTTACTGGAGAACAGGGTCCTGACCTCTTATTCCTCTGGCTTCCTACATGGTGACTGCCTATGCCTCTCTTTCCCAGAATCCTTCTTGATTCCCAGTTCCACCTATCTTGCTTCCCTATTGGCCAACAGTGCTTTATTCAACAACCAATAAGATAAGCACATATACAGGACTTCCTCCATCACAAAGCAAATTTCACTTAATGTCAGGAAACTGAAAAAACACTTTGCATCCTATCTGATCAAAAAGTAATAAATCAAGGTGTCAGCAATAATAGGAACTACAGAATATACAGGAACTTATGAAAACTAAACCATACACTACCCAATGATAACTGGGTCAAGGGAGAAATCAAGAAGGTAATCACTATTTTAAAAACTGCTTGACAGTTTCATATATTTATATGATGAATTACCCTCTCTTGTGACTCTCCTGATAGAAGCCTGTTAGTCCCCTCTTAGAGTCATACCCTCTTTTTGTGAGACTCCATGGGTCTAATTAGTTTCATGTTTGAGTGTTGTTGGAGATTGCTTACAAGATGAAGGGTAGGGTGGGCGTTGGTAACACACGCCTTTAATCCTAGCACTCGGGAGCCAGAGGCAGGTGGATCTTTGTGAGTTCGAGGCCATCCTGGTCTACAGAGCAACTTCCAGGACAATCTCCAAAGAAATACAGAGAAACACTGTCTTGAAAAAAAGAGAAGAAGAAGGAGGAGGAGGAGGAGGAGGAGGAGGAGGAGGAGGAGGAGGAGGAGGAGGAGAGAAGAAGAAGAAGAAGAAGAAGAAGAAGAAGAAGAAGAAGAAGAAGAAGAAGAAGAAGAAGAAGAAGAAGAAGAAGAAGAAGAAGAGTGAATTACCAGTGTCTAGATCACTGGGAAAAGTGACACCACTTTTTTACAGAAAACATTGACTGACAGTAGTTCCTAAAGTTGTCATGGTGCATCACAGACCCCTGCCATGTCCGTGAGGAAATGTCCACAGCACTGATTTCTTGCAGGTCTTCTACGGGCAACAAGATTGAGATTCGTTTAGTTCTCCTTTTCTTTTGGCCTCGAGTCTAAACAATTCCTAATAACGTCACCAGTGATGCTTTCAAAGTATGGGTGCTACCTCTGATTTATTTATTATAAACATTTCCTCCCTTTGTCTGCCTTTGTGCTTCTCTAGTGACATTTTAGCACATATTTACCGATTCTCCGAGGAATTTCACGCGTGTGTACAATGGACTGAAATCAAATCTACCCTTCAACCTGCCTCCCCATCCAAATTCTTCAAGACCATTTTACTGAAATCCCCAATCAGTTTCACATCTTTAAAAAAATGCACCGAGTCCACGTAGAGCTGTTCCTATGTGCGTGGTTGGAGGACCATCTACAGAAGTAAGAGTAACCTCCTGAGAGACTCACCTCCCAGGGAACCGACTCTGCCGGTGGCAGTTACAACCACCGCGAGTCCACGAGAACACGTGTCCTGTGATGTCCAGAGGACTGCGCCTTTCAGCAGTCCTCCCCAACCTCAGGGCTCTGCAATCTGCCTCCTCTTTGTGGACGTTCCTTTAGGCCAGGAGAGGGGTACGATCAATATACACACATGGGGTTACCACTCACTCACTTACTTTTACGTGGTATCTATATGTGAATTTGGAGTTGCCGAAGTAAAATAACTGTTGTTTACAATTCCGTTTCCATAGGCTGAATTCTTAGAAGACGTGGGCCTTATGAAATATGAAAAATTCTTGTCCATGCTGATGAGCATTCAGCTGACAAAACCAGTTTCAGATGAAAACCTCACAGTGATTGACACAGACTTCGGCGGCATTCCTGTCCGCCTGTATTTGCCAAAAAGGAAGTCTGACAGACGGAGACCAGCTGTCATTTACATTCATGGTGGCGCCTCTTCCTTAGGAAGCTTCAGTAAGTGTATTTTTTAATGTATGCATTAAATAAATTGCACGTAGCCACACTGAACTGAACTTTGGCCTCTCGTGACCATACTACAGTTTTTCCTTGTAATAATTTAATTTTTTTCTCCTGAGCATTTAATAGTATTTATTATGTTTTTGTTTTGTATAATGAAGACTATTTAATGCCTTTTAAGCTAATTCCTTTCCATTTATAACTAAAAGGGATTTTGACATTGCTTTCAGCTCAGGTGTTAATCACAAAATTTTAACCTCATTTTTCTACTTCCTTTTCAGTGTATAATAGCTAGATTCAACTCATTGTAAATTTCTATAAGCAATTACCAATGTAAGAATATGATACTGTTTATTCTGATGAGTGCTGAAATTGTTGTTTCTGTTTAGAAAGTAAACAAATTTTGTTTATGAATTTACTAAATGTGAATGATTTTATGTAAGTGTTTATGTCCATGGCAAGAGAAAAAGCTTATTTTAAAAAAATTACAACACTAAGTATATATCCTTTTAGGTCAAGTCACAAAAAGCAACAACAATACTCATGCCAAAGTAGACTTGGATAGCCTCAAACCTTCACAAAGACCTGCAGGCAACTAAGGAATGCTAAAAGAAAATAGTTTGCCCCAGGGAAGAGCATACCAATTGGTTGTCCAATTGACCAAATAATCAATATTGAATAAAAATAACATGAGACAGTCTGACCAGGTTATATTTTGGAATATATATATGCATATAATATAATATTTGCATGTAACAACAATTAATGAAAAAAGACCATGAATTTGAAAAAGAGCAAAGATGATAGGTATCTGGGAGGCTTTGAAGGCAGGAAAGGGAAGGGAGAAATGATGTAATTGTGTTATCATATCAAGGCTAAAAGAAAAAAGGGCAAACATCATGACCTACAGAGTCTTAAAACAATAATTATAGCAAACATCTGAATTCATGAAAACTGTTACAAAGTTCAAGATGCTATTGAGGAGTTGTAAATTCATGACATACATTTTTTTCCTATTGAGAAATACAGAACTTAACCAAAAACCATTGAAAACAATGTGTCTATTACTAATTAAGCTTTTGTACTATGCCCATAGTTCCTGCAAATGAGTCATCTTGAGTGTGATGTCACCTGGTGCAGTTTCTATCAGTGCTTCTTAGCCATAAGCCTCCCGCTAGCGAAACTGGCTGCACAGAGAGGCAGAGCACCATGCATGGGAACCTTTCCACATCAGTGGCAGCCCTTGAATTCAGTACTACCTTGACACTGGAGGAACTGTTCTGATTAGTCCAAAGTAGAGTAGCAAGATGCAACACTCTTCTCCAGTTGTGACCAGCTAGATTTTGTCTCAGTGGATTGGCTAAAGAAAAAAATAATGGGTGGAAAATTAGCAATTCCTCTTACTCTGATAGAGTTTTCCTCTTTACGGGAACAGGTGTGGTGATTGCAGGGTTTTCATCCATTAATCATAATTCACATCTCTATTACAGTTAATGGATGTAGCTGTATCTCAATGGCTACAAACACAGTCTTGTATTTTTCTCTTTCATTTCAGAGATACTTCCCTATGATTATCTGAACCGACGGACAACAAACAGACTTGATGCGGTTGTTGTAGCAACAGAGTAAGAAAGTGACGACAGCCTTCATACTATGGTCATACCCCTCCCAGAACAGGCTTAGTTTACAAAGCAAGTTACCCAGACCTCAAAAATGGTTGGATCCTTGTTCTGAGGCTCAGGTTCAATTTGTTTTTTTTTTCCTTACCTAGAAAGAATAGCCACTTACAGTCTTTCTTGTAATGTGTTTTATTTATGCTACCAGTAAAAATATATAGGTCAGAATTATTCATGGATTTAGTAGATGACCAATATTGGAACCATACGAACATTCCAATAGTTCCTCAAATAATACATATAATACAAATAATATATATATATATATGTATTATGATGTTGGCCCTAATTACCGACCTTACACCAAAGATGGGAGGATGCATGTTACTTTAATACTTAATGGGCATACTCTATATTTGTGAGAGCTACACCATGAGCGTGAATGTTTCCTGTCAACTCTGTTGTACAGAAATGAACTTGTACCATTGTAGACATACCTGAAAACATTGAAAGGAATTACTTGGCTGCAAGTGTAATAGAATCAAGTAAACAAGTGCTGTCCTCATGAACATGCCTTAAAGTAATCAAAATGTTATTTGTATTTTAAGAAATATCTGACTTACAATCTTAAAGATGATCTGCGTTTCCTGCTGTAATTCTAACCAACTGTGTCACATTATCATTTCATATAGGCTTCTGAAATAGTGGATTATGCTGTACTTACTTTAATAATTATGTATTTCCTTAGGTACTTGCCATATGTTCATGTTTACATTTTATTTAGATTTTGCTATTTTTAAAACATTTAGGCATTATTTGAAATATAAAAGATCTGAAGGACCATCTGACTAATATTAGTTATTATATTAGTTTATAAATAATTAAAGAATTCCAATGGTTTAAAATGAGAAGTTAAATAATAAGATAGTTTAATTGAGGAGTGCTCCTATAACACAACACAACACAACACACACACACACACACACACACACACACATAGAATAAGAGGCACAATAGTATTTTGTCTTAATGATCAACATGCAGTATTTAATAAGACCCATGAATATACTTAAATGATATTAGGATACACTTAAAATATATAGAAATACTTAAATATTATTGAATAACTATTAAATTGTTAAATGATGTTATTCTAACATTGATTCAAATTCTCAGGTTGGTGATGTGAAGTTCTACAAGGTTATAGACTCCTGACTTAAATAAATTCCTAAATCGAGGTTCCTATGTATATTGGATACCATATTCTCTGATTGCACATGTTTCTGGGAAATTCTATCAATAATCATGAATTGCTTTTGAGTCCCAACTTCACTGAGGGCCTGGAGAAGCCAACAGACTTTATAAGGTGGATGACTAATCAGCTCATAGTCATACTACCATAGACCCAATACCCGGAACCCTTTAAACCAGACCTTCTTCTCGTTTTAAAGCAAAGGTTATTAGTGTGCCCAGGTTCAGTAGGTGAAATTAGAAGTTCAAAGTAGGGACAAATTTTATTAATGTATCTGTTGGTGAAACTGAGAGATCACTGTACATATAAGTTTAATCATCCTGCTTTCGGGGTGTTTGGTTTTTCTTTAAAGCTACAGACTGGCTCCTCAGTATCCATTCCCAGCTGCCCTTGAAGATTGTATTCTTGTGGTCAAGTTCTTTCTCCAGGATACAATTCTTGCAAAGTACGGAGTAGATCCTGCTCGCATTTGTATTTCTGGAGACAGTTTTGGTGGTACATTGGCGGCGGCAGCAACTCAAATGGTATGTTGTGTTGCTGCAGGTGTCTGACTGTTCCTCCCTGGTGCTGATAGCTGAGCTTCTGTCTGCCAACAGGCTTTCTCCTTGCCTGATTCTATTCTGTACATCTCAAATCACCAGCTGCCCAGGTACCACGGGCAAATGTTGCATGACTCTTCCCCTACCCGACTCTATATTTCACTGGAGTAACTAATGAGATTCTATGAGGTGGTCTACAAGGCAACTCTAGAAATAATTCAGTCACTTTAAGACACAGTATCTGACAGCACTTATTTGCCAGATCAAAGCTTTTTGGGTTGAGGAGACATGTCTTAGTCATCACTTGCTGAGTTTTTCCTTCAAGGTTCTGGTGGCCAGCAAATTAGACCAAGCATCTCTGTGTCTGTAGAGTTTAATAGTATGCATGAACTCCATGGCAATAACTCCAGTCTTCCTACAAAGTGCATGGGGGGCTGCCAGCTAAGGTTGTGAAAAAAAAAAGAGGTTCCTTATAGGTCCACTTTTCTGTTCTGCCCTTCCAGATGCTTTGGTTTGGGTTAGGCATGCTATCCACTGGAGTGGCCAAGGCTGAGATATGTGTAGCTGTTCTTCAAATGGAACCTAAGTATGTTAAAGAAACAATTCAAACATGGCGGGAAGAACGCTTGTTACATATGGCGCCTGAACTTGGGGCATGAACTCCCACTTAAGAATTGGACAAAAACTTAAAAAAAGGATTTTAGAAACAAAAGAAGAGAGACAAGCACAGCTTCTTGGTAACAGCATTTTCTTGGATGGGCTCTGTTTTGCTAGAGACGAGCGCAGACTTGCTTGGCCAGTGCTGGCGGTAAACATATACTTGCCATGTTGGAAAGCCAGTGGCTAAAACAGCCGCAGCTTTAATTTTAGCAATGTTGATTAGCAGATAACAGACATGTGTCCAGAAAAGCATAATGATTTACACTAAATTCAGATTCAGATGAAATAAAACCTCTAAAAGGTTTATAGTGTGTTTAAAAAATGTACGTAGGCTTGGAAGAGAAGAAGAAAAAGGATAGTGGCTGGGTGTGGTGGCACAAGTCTTTAATCCCAGTGCTCCAAAGGCAGGGGCAGGCAGAGAAACTCTGTCTCAGAGAATAAACAAATAAATAACTAAATAAAAGTAATAGAAATAGAACAATAAAAAAGCCATGTAAGGATGAAATTGCAAAGAGAGTCTGGATACTGTATGCTGTTGTATTGTCTTTGAATTGTTTGACTGCTACGGAAATTGCAACAACTGCTTAAAGACATGCCACTAAATTAATCCAATTTATGTATTTTAAAGATGCTTTGACTTCTAAATTTAAATATAAGGACAGGTTACTTGGGAAAAGAATTTTTGTTTACGTTTCCACTGAAAAGGCTGTAGATTCCTTCTAGACTCCTATGGTTTCATAAAGCAAGACCTCCTGAAATGGTGTCCCAGGTGATCCAATATCTGAAACAGCTGACGTGATGCAGCCTTGCAGACTACAAAAAACAAGGACTTGGCCAGGTTTCTGTTTTGTCATGATCCCCATGGTATGGACAGCGCCCCCAACCAGCAGGAAGCAGTTTGGAATGAATAATGCCCACATTCCCAAATATTATTTAAATGTTTGTTTTCATTTTACATGGTTGGTTATAAATGGTAATGATCACAGTCAATCTCTTTCTAAAGGGAAAAAGGGAGTATGATATAGAAATGAATACTTTGTATTGATATGGATTTTCATTTATTGATACGAATTTAAAGTTAGTTTTGCGATATGTATATTTCTTCTCTTTTTAGGTATTGTGCTTGTATAACTCATTTAAAAATTTAATGCATAATTAAATACAGATTATAGATAGTTACCTATAATAGTCAAAACTTATAGTTAGGTTAGTTAGGTTTTCTAGATATACAGAGAGGTATTCGAGATAGATATTCTTCAGACCTTTCAAAGACCTTCAGAAAATGACATTTAAAATGGTTTAGGGTTTTTCATGACAGACACAACTGCTCCTGGCACACCAGTTACATCTGAGAGGAAGATGAGCATTAAAGAAATTCATTATGGAGTTTGCTTTCAACATGGCAAGTTTAGTTATTTGGGCAAGAAACTGCTCTTGCATTTACTGTTTGATAGACTGGACATAGGGGACCCACAGGAAAGTGACTGCTGAACTTGATGGGACAGTTCTAAAGGGACTGACAAACTGTCAATGGAGATGGACAGTTTAAAATTTCCTGCTTTGCTAATAAGTCTGCCAGATACACTGTGGCCTATGGGCTGAAGATGGATGCCTCAATGTTACAGAGGAACTTCACATGTCTGTCTAGGTAGTGAGATGTCTCTGTCAATTCTAGTGCTTATATATTATCCTTTTGTAATCTTTGATGTAGTTGAAGACAGATAGTTATAGTTTTCCTTAGTTATGATAAAAGATAAGTTACATCTAAGACTTTAGAGTCACAAAGATAAGATAGATCATATTTTCTTTAAATCTTGCTAAAAGTTAATAGACTAAATATTGTATCTATAGTTCTTGCTTAATAACTGCCTTGTTATATATTTTACTGTGTTAAAATTAAAACCTTTCTTTTTATTTAGATAGAAAAGAGGAGATGATGGGGGAAGTCCTTCTGTGTTTTATGGTTGATTCATAAAGCACTGCTAGCCAATAGGGAAGCAAGATAGTTGGGACTAAGGGTTGAGGAGGATTCTGGGAAATGTATTCAAGAGTAGAGGGTTGCCATGTGATTACAGGAGGACAGGATGCATTAGAATGATGTCCTCAGAAAGATGAGTCCTTATAGAAATATATATTAGTAATTATGAGCTAAGTTAATAGTTAAGTCTTACCTGCAGCCCTTCTCAGGGAAGGTCAGGATTCAGTTAGAGGTTTTCAAAGCCACGCACTCATCAAAGACATTGGTTTAGATAAAGTAAAATGTCTAGTTGAAATCTCAATAGAACAAAAGTAAAAATATTTGGCTAACTTTAACACACACATACCACACACACACACACACACACACACACACACACACACACACACACACACACACACACACTGAACACGAAGTTCTGCAAGCTTAAGAAAGGAAAAATTTCTCAAGAGAATCTTACCTAGTTTCTTGATCAAAAAGATGAGTGTAGTGTCTCAGAGGGGCCAGGGAGTAAATAGCATGGCACTCTGTATCAAAAGCGAAGCATATTTAAAAAATGACAGCTCCTCCATAAGCAACCAGGTATGATTCCAAGTAAGTTAATAGATGCTCATTGTAGAGACAAGCACATTCTTGGAGTCTGCTGGCCCCCAGTCTAGCAGAATGCCTCAACTCCAAGGTCAGCCAATCAGATTACTTAAAAAAAAGAGATCAAGACTGAATGACACCTGTGTTGATTTCCACAAGCTTGAGTACAACATGGCCATGAAGCATGCACATGTGTGCATTCACATGCACATGTATGTGCATTTAAGTGAAAACAGAAATACAAAAATCAAGGGAAATCCACCACGTTCTTATGGGAAAAGAAAAGAATAATGGCTGTCTTTGCAGCAGTTCAGATTTCAACAAGTATTAAATCAAAAGAAGGAAGAAATACTAGTACATTAACATGCTGGCTTAAGCCTTAAAAAAAGAACTAAGGAAGAGGGCAAAAGGGTTTCAGATTTTACTACTTCTGTGCAGTCCTGGGTCACTGGGTCTTCTTTTTCAATGCCCATTGTACTAAAGCAACTAAAATTTCATGATAGGAATATCTGTCCATTCCTCATACTACTGTGCATCGAAACTACTATTCTTTATTAGTAGATCAGTATTCTACACGAATGGACTTTGGGAACCCATTCCACATAGAGGGATACTCTCTCAGCCTAGACACATAGGGGAGAGCCTAGGTTCTGCTCCAAATGATATGACAGACTTTGAAGATCCCCCCATGGAAGGTCTCATCCTCCCTGGGGAGCAGAAAGGAGATGGGATAGGTAACTAGTGGGGGGGCAGTGGAGGACGGGAGGGAGAGGGAACTGGGATTGACAGGTAAAACAAGCTTGTTTCTGATTTAAATTAAAAGAAAATCCGGCCAGGCAGTGGTGGTACACAACTTTAATCCCAGCACTCGGGAGGCAGAGGCAAGCAGATCTCTATGAGTTTGAAATCAGACTCGTCTATAAGAACATCCCAAGCTGTCTCAAAAGAAAAAAAAAGAAAAACAAAAGAAAAAATCCAAATAGTGGGTCCCAATGCACTAAAATGCTTCCAGAATGTCACATACCAAAGCTCTCAGAGTTTCTCTGATGACCAGGACCTACAGCACAGACTCTTTTGTAACACACCAATTATGAAAAACTTCTCATTGCCTGAATTAATCTAGGTAATAAGCATTAGGAACACACAGTAGGTTCTCTCCTGCAGTGTGCAGGAATAGATAATGAGAGGGAGGACAATCTTCTTATAGCTGCAAACTCAGGACCCTGTCCACTTCTGGTAAAGACAGAGACTATGCTCAAATCACTTCACATCATTTTCCACAGTTTTGATTTTTGTAAATAATTTTGTGTGTTCTCCTAAAGGTCAGATGCACATTTGAATTGTTTCTTTAACATGCTTAGGTTCCATTTTAATAAGATTTCTATATCAATTTTAGCTGTTTTTTATATGTTGGTTTTGTTGAGTATTGTTTCTGTATCCACAGCTCCGGAATAATCCAGAATACAAAGATAAAATTAAGGCACAAGCATTGATATACCCTGGACTACAGTTTATTGACACCTTTCTGCCATCTTATCAAGAGTATGAACATGGTCCCTTTCTATCAAGAAAGGTAGGAATTAAGTTGCTAAGCCTATACATTGCTGAAGACACAGCAGTATTCCAGGCCTTACTGAGAAATGAGCACATGCCACCAGGATCAAGACACCTGTTCAAGTTTGTTAACTGGAGTGACTTCCTTCCTGAGAAGTATAAAAAGAACCATGTTTACACGGAGCCCATTCTTGGAAAACTGAACGCTTCCTATCCAGCACTTGTGGATAGCAGGCTGTCCCCTTTGATAGTCAGTGACGACCAGTTACAGAATTTGCCACTGACCTACATCCTCACTTGTGAACATGATGTCCTAAGAGACGATGGCTTCATCTATGTCACACGGCTCAGAGATGTTGGGGTTCAAGTTTCTCATGACCACGTAGAGGGAGGAATCCATGGTGCCCTGTGCTTCACCACAGCTCCAGTGTTTTTACGTTCAGGATTAAGAATGGCAGATAGGTATATTAGCTGGTTAAAGGAAAATCTGTAAACCAAAAGCATATGTAGGTAGGTACTTAGCAAGATAATCTAAGGGCAACATATGGAGTATTTTAAGTTTAGTAAACATGATTATAGCTTGAGCTTTAGATAGACCTAAGTTTAGTTTAGTATAAAGTTCATTGTATATGCTTGAGAAATTATTTTCCTAATCTTGGTTAACAATAAAGTGGAGACATTCCCTTACTTTGCCCACTACTGTCATGTATTGTACTGTGATAAATAGTCTCTAAGAATTCAAAAACAGTAACTCAGCACTAAAATACAAATGTGGTTATATGCAAAAGGCCGTGACAATTCCCAGACTGTGGTAAAATGGAATGATAGGGAGGAGAATGTTTAAGAGAGAAAAATTGCAATGACAGTTGTACGGGGTTAGCATTACTTTGTATTTCTCAAACTCTTTAATTATATGCTTTCTATACATTAATTACCTCTTCTCTATATAAATTAAGCTAGTATTTTTCATTCATATCTTCTGAAGTTTATATTCTCCTTATTAGTAAGCCTTTCTTTATTGCAGAAAAGCTTAATATCCGAACTGCAAGTATTTTCTGTAATTTAAATACGTGATCCCTCTCACTGACTCTCACATTCAGGGGGTCTGGATCGGTCCCATGCTGGCCTCCCAGCTGTCGGTCTGGGGTCCAAGAGCTCTCCCCTGTTCAGATCAGCTGTCTCTGCTGGTTTTTCCAGCCCATTCTTTGCCAATTTGCTCATTACTCCTCTCTCTCTGTCGCTGGGTTCCTTGGGTTCTGTTCAGTATTTAACTGTGGATGTTTGCCTCTGCTTCCATCAGTCACTGGATGAAAGCTCCAGGATTGTTATAGACATCAAGTTCATTATCAGGAATGGACATTCGAGGTGGTCTCTCCACTATTGCTTAGCTTGCCAATTGGTGTCATCCCTTTAGATCACTAGAAGACACAATGATGCCTGATCTGTCTTCTAACCTATGATTCCCTCTTCCCCCTATCCAACACCCCCAGTCCACCTTCCTGTTCCTCCACGACCTACTCTCTCTTCCACTTCTCCCCCTCTCTATTTTGCAGGTCCCCCTCCCCCCACCCCTCGCCGTGTTCCCCATCTGTTCAGAGGATCTTGCCTCATTTCTCTTCTCTTGAGTATCATGCACATCTTTTAGGTTCTTTCCTGTTTCCCAGACTCTCTGTCAGTGGAAGTGCAGACTGTTTCTCAGACTCTCCTGATCCATGTCTAAAATCCATATATGAGTGAGTACATACCATGTTTGTCTTTTTGTGACTGGGTTACCTCACTCAGGATGGTTTCTTCCACTGCTATCTATTTACCTTCGAATTTCAAGATTCCATTTTTTTTCTGCTGAGTAATACTCCATTGTGTAAATGTACCACATTTTCTCGATCCACTCTTTAGTTGAGGGGCATCTAGGTTGCTTCTAGGTTCTGGCTATTACAAATAATGCTGTTATGAACATAGTGGAGCAGATGCCCTTGTTGTATGAATTTGCCTCCTTTGGATATATGCCTAAGAGTGGAATTGCTGGGTCTTGTGGTAGATTGAGTCCCATTTTCGTGAGGAATCTCCATACTGCTTTCCAAAGTGGCTGTACGAGTTGGCACTCCCACCAGCAGTGGAGGAGTGTTCCCCTCTCTCCACATCCTCTCCAGCATAAATTGTCTTCGGTGTTTTTGATTTTAGCCATTCTGACAGGAGTAAGATGGTATCTCAAAGTTGTTTTGATTTGCATTTCCCTGATGGCTAAGGATGTTGAGCACTTTCTTAAGTGTCTCTTGGCCATTTTAGCCTCCTCTATTGAGAATTCTCTATCTAGTTCTGTACCCCACCTTTTAATTGGATCCTTTGGTGTTTTGGAGACTTGCTTCTTGAGTTCTTTGTAAATTTTGGGGATTAGCCCTCTGTCAGATGTGGGGTCAGTGAATATCTTTTCCCATTCTGTGGACTGCCTTTCTGTCTTGTTGACTGTGTTTTTGCCTTACAGAAGCTTTTTTAATTTCATGAGGTCCCATTTATTAATTGTCAATCTCAGTGTCTGTGCCACTGGTGTTATGTTCAGGAAGTGGTCTCCTGTACCAACTCGTTGAAGAGTATCTCCCACTTTCTCTTCTAAAAGTTTCAGTGTGGTTGGATTTATGTTGAGATCTTTGATCCATTGGACTTAAGTTTTGTACAAGGCAATAAACATGGATCTATCTGCAGTCTTCTGCATACCAGTACCCAGTTATGCCAGCACCATTTGTTGAAGATGCTTTCTTTTTTCCATTGTATAGTTTTAGCTTCTTTGTCAAAAATCAAGTGTTCATAGGTGTGTGGGTTAAAATCATGGTTTTCAATTCGGTTCCATTGGTCTACCTGTCTATCTTTGTGCCAGTACCAAGCTGTTTTCAGGACTATATCTCTATAATAGAGCTTGAAGTCAGGTATAGCGATGCCTCCTGAAGTTCCTTTATTGTATAGGGTTGTTTTGGCTATCCTGGGCCTTTTGTTTTTCCATATAAAGTTGATTAATGTTCTTTCCAGATCTGAAGAATTGTGCCAGAATTTTGATAGGGATTGCATTGAATCTGTAGACTGCTTTTGGCAAGATTGCCATTTTTATTATGTTGATCCTACCAATCCAAGAGCATGGGAGATCTTTCCATTTCTTTGGTTTCTTTCTTTAAAGACTCAAAAGTTCTTGATATACAGGTCTTTCACTTCCTTGGTTAACATTATCCCCAGATATTTGATGCTGTTTATGGCTATTTTAAAGGGTGAGGTTTCTCTGATTTCTTTCTCAGTCACTTCATCGTCTGTATATAATAGGGCCACTGATTTTTTTGAGTTTACCTTGTATCCTGCCACTTTGCTGAAGGTGTTTATCAGCTCTAGGAGTTCCCTGAGCAGTGGATCAGTGTTTATCCCTCAAATACTAACAGACATCGTGTGTCCATAACACAAAGAGGCTTGCTATCTCTGCCTGGACTCTTAGTGAAGTGCCTGGACCCTACCCTGAGTGAAATGATAGACTCTAGATATCCCCTATGCAGAAGGAATTGGCAATAGGGTGGGAGGATGAGGGGGATGGTGGGGGTGTGAGAGGAGGGGAGGGAGAGGGAACTGGGATTGACATGTAAAACAAGCTATTTAAATTTAAAATAAAAAATAAAAAATAAATACGTGATCCCTACTTGCTCTGAAGTAAAATCAAACTTGAACTTCATCCATTGCTGTACAATGATTCCTAAGCCATGATGATATCCAAACGTCTGTACATGGCAGTCATAATTATTCATGCCATCTTTCCTGACTTTTCAAGTGAGTTGCTAGCACAGCATGAAACTCAACGTCTGCAAAGTTTGTACACTGATGGTCTCCAGATCTACGTGCTTTCCTGTTCTGAAGGACACACACACTTGCCAGCCCACAACAAATGCATAACTAATAATCTTCGCTTCCTTTGGGAGTCATTAAAATAACAGATAATTTTCTGAGATCTAGTTGAGTATGCTGTGTGCATATGGTTGCTTCTACCTGATTCGAACTGTACTCTATCGCTGAGTTGTTTTTTGAAATGTACTGAGTTGCACGATTTGCTTTAATTTGCAATCTAATCATCACCTCAAGAAGTTGTTAGTTTTATGTTAGCTTCAGCTAGAGAACTTATTCTTATTCGCCTCCACAATAAGCCGCTAACCTCTCAAATTTCATCGATAAGAGTCATTTCTGGGATTCAGACACTGGCTATGTCATGAAAACCAGGTTTCTTTGCTGTTACTTGTCTCATGACCCTTGTGAGAAGAAAATATCCTACACAACTATTCTTTTCTTGATGTATTTAGGAAGGAGAAGGGCCATTGATTGACCTATGCTGAACCATAATTGATTAATTTATGGAATTATCTATTAAGTTATGTGAGTAGGGAATATATGATGAGTACTTGTTTTGTATCATTGTACACAAAGAAATCTCCAGATAAGGCCCATTATTTCTACATATATTATCCCACAATACTTTAGAGTATTACTGAATGTTTTCAATAATATTTTTTCCATTTTTTAATTTAAAATAGAAACGAGCTCACTTCACATGTCAATCCAAGCTCCCTCTCCCTCCCCTGCCCCCTCCAGCCCCTCCAGCCACCCCAACCCCCATTCCATTCCCCAGGGAGGGAGAGGCCCTCCATGGGTGATCTCCAAAGTCTGTCATTTCATTCAGGGCAGAGCCTAGGTTCTCCCCCAAGAGTCTAGGCTGAGAGAGCATCACTCACTGTGGGATGGGCACCCAAAGTCCATTTGTATGCCAGGGATAAATACTGATCTACTACCTAAGACCCCATAAATTGCCTAGCCCTCCTCATTGACGCTCATATTCAGGGGGTCTAGATAAGTTCCATGCTGGCCTCTCAGCCATCAGTTTTGGGTCCAAGACCTCCCTCCCCCCTTGTTCAGGTCAGCTGTTTCTGTTGGTTTCACCAGCCTAGTCTTGACCCCTTTGCTCATGACTCCTCCCTCTCTGTCACTAGGTTCCAGGAGTTCAGTTCAGTGTTTAGCTGTGGGTGTCTGCCTCTGCTTCTATCAGTTACTGGATGAAGGCTCTAGGTGGCATATAAGGTAGTCATCAATCTCATTATCAGAGAGGGGCATTTAAGGCATTCTCTCCACTATTGCTTTGTTTGCCAGTTGGTGCCATTATTTTAGATCTCTGGAAATCTCTCCAGTGCCAGATCTTCCTCAAACCTATAATGGCTCCCTCTATTATGGTATCTCTCCTCATGCTCTCCTCTATTCTTCCCGTCAACCTTCCTGCTCCCTCATGTCCTCTTCTCCCCTCCTCTTCTCCCCCTCTTTTTCTGGCTCTCTCTCTCCTCCCCCCATGCTCCCACTAGGATGACACAAACTGGTCATATAACTAATAGTGGAGAGGCTACCTTAAAGATGACTACCTTGTATGCCATCCTAGAGCCTCTATCCAGTGGCTGATGGAAGCAGAGGCAGACATCCACAGCTAAACACTGAACTCAATGAGCAAAGGGGTCAAGACTGGGCTGTTGAAACCCACAAAAACAGCTGACCTGAATGAGAGGGAGCTCATGGACCCCAGATTGATAGATGAGAAGCCAGCATGGGACTGATCCAGAACTCTTGAACGTGGATGTCAATGAAGAGGTCTCTGCATTCTTTGGGGCCTCGGGCAATA